ACTCTTAAAGACTAAGACCACACAAGGACTCATATACACGCACAATCACACAATAGCTTGTACTTGATGGACCTGTGTCTTTATTCAATCTCAAATATTATGTAACTATGTAAGAAAGCACAAAGTATACAAATTTTAAATAACATTTTAAAAATGTAAAACACGAAGTGCACAAATAATGATCAAAAACACAAAAAAATACAAAGAACTGTTTTGGATTGTAAGCTCCCCGGGGCAGGGCCCTCCCAATCCTCCTGTATGGAATTGTATTGTCGCTGCAATGTCTCCTTTTATATTGTAAAGCTCAGCACAAGCTGTTGGCACTTTATAAATCCTGTATAATAATAAATAAATAATACTTGGGGTGTATTGATAAAGCGGTGTATCTGACATTCACCATACATTGACTGCAGGTGAGTTTTCCAGGTGAGTGTTTCAAATGACAGTGATTGATTCACTACCAGTGAAACGCAGGATTCAGTTCTATAGGGAATAAACTAAACGGCCCTGAATTACCCCCCCCCCAAAAAACCCTCTTTAAACAAATAATTTTTTTTTTTTAAGTTGATTTTTCACTGAAATAGAAAAACAATAAAAATGATCATTGCGCTATTTCTGATCGTCCGCTGAATAATCAATCTGAATCCAATCCAACATGGCGGAAAATCTCATCGCTTTCTGAGATTGTCCGGCAGGGATCCTGTTTGTGATTGATTTGTATTTGATGACATTTTAATCTATCAAATCCATAAAAATCGATCAAGGTCCGCAGGGTGAATTCGTCACGCGGCAGCGTGTTTGATTGTCTGAACGCGGAGGAGCGTTCGCAGGAATCAGGATGGATCACATAGGGAAACCTTGATTGATTTCTGAAAATGAAAGTCAAGCAAAAACAGAACTCTTGCCCTATAATAATAATAATAGTGCTCCAGAACAAGCATGGCTTCCAGTGTGACCACAGCGATCTCCTCTCTGCTGGCTGAAGCCTGAGCAATGCAAAGTAACAGCCATTCTGACAGGTCCTCTTTTCATCATCATTGAATGACACGTTGCTGCCATCTAGTGGCCATATGTGTTTCTGCACCCTCACACAAATTCATATACAGCATCTGCTGCCATGGAGGTTTCGCTCTAAAAGTGGATCTTGGAGAACCGCTGTCAGTAAGGGGGTACACTTATATGCAAAGTGCTGCAGCCACAATACAGTTTACTGTAGTAAGATGCTTTCTGATTGGTTGATAGGGGGTCATTAGACTTTTAACAGCGTCGTGGCCTACTTGCAGTAACATATAGGATGTATTACAGGTATTTATATAGCGCACATTATTATTATACAGGATTTATATGGCGCCAATAGTTTGCGCAGCGCTTTACAATATAAGGAAGACATTACAATTTAAGACAAGATGGTAAGGAGGGCCCTGCCCCTGAGGACTTACAGTCTAAGGGAGGGGCAAGTGATACATGAGGAGGTAGCTGTGTGGGGATGAATTGTTTGAGAACGTGATGGTTGAGCGGTTAGGTTGAGGTGGGATCGGCTTCCCTGAAGAGATGAATCTTAAGGGATTGCTGAAAGGCAGTCAGAGTGAGCGATTGATGGACAGGTTGGGGTAAAGAGTTCTATAGGATGGGAGAGACTCTAGAAAAGTCCTGGAGGCATGTATGAGGGGAGGAGTTGACAAGGGACCTGGAAAGCAGGAGGTCATCAGTCCCTGCCCTTGAGGAGCTTAAAATCTAAAGTCCCTATTGCACATGCATACAGCGTGGGGTTTCCACCTTTTCTTCCAGTGATACCCGAACACTCTAGCAAAGCACGGAAACCTATTTGGGAGAATGAGTGGTGGCTTATTAATATTTAAATAACGCCACCCATTCATATGTAAATATCACAGGTAAGACTATTTTCAGTGGGGGGCCAGTAGCCCCTATCTTAATTTTGGTTGCCCGTCTGCCTGACATCTTGTGTCCGAGTTTCAGCTGCTATGAAACCAGAACACAGCATTCAAAACCCGAACTGTCCGGGTGAATCCTGGACAGGTGGCAACCCTAATACAGGGCCAATTCAGAAAGGAGCCAATTAACCTACCAGCAAGTCTTTGGAGTGTGGAAAGAGACTGGTGGAACCCCACACAAGCACAGGGGGAACATGCAAACTCAACGCAGATGGTCTCCTGACTGGGATTTAAACCAGTGACCCCCAGTGCTGCAAGGCAGAAGTGCTTACCGCCTAGCCACAGTTCAAACCTCGTTTCTTCAGGGACAACATACAATAAAGCGGCATTATATTGCACAGAAGGCACTTCCAGGGATCTTCACATTAGCTCTGCTTTGTTCTGGGGTACCCCGTATTGTGACCCCTGCACCAACTATTAATAGGTCAGTTAGGCCACCCTTCAGAACCGGTAAGTTGCATAGTACTAAGGGCCAAGAGCTGAAATTCATGGGTGTGCTGCCTGACTAGTAACAATAGGGCTCAATGACAAAGTTATTAACACTAAGTCAGTATTTTATTCCCAGAAAAGGTGGTAAATATGAAGCTGTCTGCCAAGCAATGTAAGTATATTGTGCCCACAGGTACACTGTAAAGCTGGGTGGAGAGGAGACCTGTAAGTGTAAATGAGCAGCAAAAGAGAAAGGAAAAAAAAAAAAGCAGGTCCCCTGCCCTGCCATAGAGGATGGTGCTGTGACAGCTGTGTAAATCTCTGCACTGGATGGACAGCAATACAAATCCTTTGGCAGGTAAAACAGCTCCCATGTATGTATTTAGTCTGTGTATTTTGTCTGGAGTTCAGCTTTAACCAACTTTCAGCTCACTTATCATTTCCTTCTAAAGCTATGAAGAAAAATTGAAGTTCAGCCAGTATGAACCCGGATATTTGTCCCTTTATGGGCCTTTGGGCGCAAGCTCCAGAGTGATAGGAAGAGTGGCTGCATTACACAATGACTCCACTAGAGGGCAGGGCAGAACTCTCCATATTACAAACTTCTGAGGAATCCCTGGTGCCCAACCTGCAGCCCTTTGGCACTTGGTATTGGTGCAGAGGGTATTGGTGCTTACTCAAGCCAGTGAAAAAAGAAAAATATTCTTTACACTGGCTTCTAGTTGTTTAAAAGGTTTTCATTTTTATATCTAGTATATATTTTACATTTTCTTTTTCTGCGCTTTCCACCGCTTTTTTTTCTTGTGTTTTCCCCCTTTATCTTATAAAAGCGCAATGTGGAAGTGTTGGTTTGCAAAAGGACTGTTATAGCAATGGTCCCTGGCCATCTCCCGGAGCAGGGCGGCGTTCCCTGGCCATCTCCCGGAGCAGGGCCGCGGTCCCTGGCCATCTCCCGGAGCAGGGCCGCGGTCCCTGGCCATCTCCCGGAGCAGGGCCGCAAAACCTGGACCAAGACTAAGTCAGAAGTTTTGACTTCACTGGCTGCATACTTGTGTCAATATGGAGACGCAAGGAGAAAGATGAGGGCCCACATCTTGCACCCTTGAAAACAAGTAGACTTAAACTCGACACCCATTTAGTCCACACCACATATGATTGCACACAAACCCGACCAATACTACAAACGAAAATAAAAACTTTATTGACAATCATAAATTAGATTTGCACTATTTACATCACAATTTACATTCTATGAACACGGATTGCTATGTGTTTTGGAAAGTCTGAATCTAAAACATACTACTACAAATGTTTCCATCCATGCCTCTAGAGGCACTACAATGGGCAACAACAACAAATCGTGACATGAATCTATCTCTGAATAAACTCAGTCACATTAAAAAAAAAAAATAAGTCAGCAACAGCAAAAATCCAGCAAATTCCTGCCGCTAAATGTGGATAGTTGCAGTCAATGAGCCTGAACAAAGCAATGAAAGGCTGATGGCGGCTGTCCCCCTGTGTTCAGATGTAACTGTCATCTTTTCCTAATGGAAGGTAATCTCACCATATGCAGTCTGGGAGGTGTGAGAGCTAGAGTTTAGCTTTAACCCCAAGCCACCCCTATAACCATAAAACCTTATCTTGAAGAACCCTGTTCCATTGGCTGGGTGTCATACTGGAATGGTTTAAACCAGAAGAACCCTGTTCCATTGGCTGGGTGTCATACTGGAATGGTTTAAACCAGAAGAACCCTGTTCCATTGGCTGGGTGTCACACTGGAATGGTTTACACCAGAAGAACCCTGTTCCATTGGCTGGGTGTCACGCTGGAATGGTTTGCACCAGAAGAACCCTGTTCCATTGCCTGGGTGTCACTCTGGAATGGTTTGCACCAGAAGAACCCTGTTCCATTGACTGGGTATCACTCTAGAATGGTTTGCACCAGAAGAACCCTGTTCCATTGGCTGGGTGTCACGCTGGAATGGTTTGCACCAGAAGAACCCTGTTCCATTGGCTGGGTGTCACTCTGGAATGGTTTGCACCAGAAGAACCCTGTTCCATTGCCTGGGTGTCACTCTGGAATGGTTTACACCAGAAGAACCCTGTTCCATTGCCTGGGTGTCACTCTGGAATGGTTTACACCAGAAGAACCCTGTTCCATTACCTGGGTGTCACTTGGAATGGTTTGCACCATTGTCACAACTCAATGGCTGGGTAAAATCTATTGCTGGGGTTCCCAAGATTGGCGTTAATACAGAAGTCAGGCTGAAAAAACAACTGTCCGTATTCTAGAAGCTCAGAGTACAAACTCACTGGACCGATCATATTTCAGGTCGCCGACTTCAAATTAGTAGTAGGTCATGTCTGATTGGTTGCCACACTTGTTCATGCTGAACATACCTCACTGGCTGCATGTACTTGTCCATAATCTCACAAGGTGGTGCTGTTTCTTTTATCTCTTTTCATGTACTGGAGGATTTCCCAATCCGTGTCTGAACAGCTGTCCCTCCCTGTATAAACGCATGCTAATAAAGCTACCCTTTAGGATTTCTGATGGCCGCCATCAAAGCAGAGGTTGCGGTTTGGAACCCCGCAGACACAACTAGAGCCAGTTCATTTACAGCCAGATGTGTATTGTGTAAACATGTTTTCATGGGATAGTCTCTTCCTGATGTCACTGTTCATCTTCACCCTCCAGATAACACAGACACAGATGTTCCTTGCTCAGAAGCAGCAATGAGTCTTCGCCCAGAGGATGCCAAGACAGGGACAAGACGCTGAAATTACCTGAAAACAGAAAAACACCAGATTAAGAAAAGCGTGAGCTGGTCTGGTAAAATGTCTTACCCAACAACCTGACAGTCTAACCTAGGGATGCACCGATATATATCGGCCGCCGAAACATATCGGTGCATCCCTAGGTTAGACTTTCGGCATAATGCAGAAAGTGCCATTTTCTGCCCGATACATCCGTGTATTCTCCCCTCCCCGCTGGGCTCTGCTCTGACAGGAAAACTGACAGGCGGCCGAGCGCTGCGGGAAGAGAGCGCTGTGAGCGGCCAGCGTCTCTCCTCCCACACGCTCAGCCTCCTATCACAGATCGGCAGAGCGGTGTGTGGGCGGAGACAGCCAGCGGTCACAACAGGCTGAGCTCCTCTCGCTCAGCCTCCTGTGACAGCTGTCAGGAAGGAGAGAGGGTACAAACACTCAGCGAATAGTGATCACTGAGTGTTTGTAAATAATGGAACCATAGTATGTTTACTGTGTCCCAAATTCTGAATGAATGGGAAGTAATCACATCACTTCCTGCTCATTCATGATTGAGGATATAGTAAACATACTCTGTCCTCATGTTATGAATGATCAGGAACACTCTGTATAGAGGATTTCTGTTCATTGATAACTGGGGCTGCAGAAAAAGAGATTGAGGACTCTGCGTCCTCAATCTCTTTTTCTATTTTAAAAGGGAAATATCAGGGGTCCGTTTAGACCCCCCAATATTTCCCCGAAGCCCCTAAAACTAAAGTAAAAAATAAAAATATATTTTTTTTAAATGAATAAAAACTTTATAAAAAAATAAAATATTTAAATAATTTGAAAGAGTTAAAATAAAAAAACATTTTCAGCTTTGGCCTGACTTTTTTTCTTTCGGTTTTGAAATTTTCATTTCGGTGCACCTCTAATCTAACCAAATGCTTACTACAAGCCACAGCAACCAATAAAAAAGTGAGCGAAGAAGGAAAAGTTCATTTCAATTGGCTTATTAAAAGTTATACTAGATGTAAACCTTATTACTGAATTCTCATATAGACTGTAAGCTCCGTTGGCACATTGACTGATGGAAATGGCTTAGTGTTATTGGTAAAGCACTGAGATATAGATCAGTGTTCTAAAAAGTGGAATACAGGCTTATGTTTCATTGTTTACCTTCTACAGGTACATGGACGGAGACACAGCCGCTGGGAGACCATAAATACACCCTGCTATTTCCAGTGCAGATAGCCAGCCGTGGCTGGACAGGGTCCCATTGAAAAGAGCGCACAGCTGATGTCTGCTCCAACACTACAGACAGTCTCATCTTCTGGATGTCCCAGATCCACACACAGTATGGCATGTTATCTGAAAGGGAAAAAAGACCATTACACATTATGAAATGCAACATTTCCAACTCAGTGGAGCGGTGTTGCAAGAAAAAAATAGAAAAATGTATATGTGGAGCTAACCCATCCGTATGCTGTCAGGAAAGGAAAAATTACCGATAGGCAAGTATACAATTTTCCATTATTAAACTATATGTTAAGCCCAAACTTTTTGGTCTCGGTTCTCAGATAAGGTGGAGAAGTGCTACAACACCTCACATGTTTTTCTTGCTGTGCGCCAAGCTAGTACTCTAAAATCCTGTGCAGAGGAACACACATCTGCTGCCCTGCCTGCCGCCGTCCCAGGCGCCCCTTGCCTTCCACCGTCCCCTGCCTCCTGCTGCCTCCCACCATCCAAGACGCCCCCCTGCCTCCCGATGCCTTGGACCTCTCCTGCCTCCCACCATCCCAGACGCCCCCTGCCTCCCGCCGCCTTGGACCTCCCCTGGCTCCCGCCAACTCAGGTATCCCCTTTTATTTCATCTGATTGTAGGAATAGCCCGATAGATCAATATACCATTTTTGGTTGCCAAGTATCGGTTATCGGGACTGAAAGCCAGCATTCCGATACCCAGTTCTGGATTTGCACGATCCGTGTCGGGTTTGATGGTGCGTAAAGTCACAGGCAGCTCAACCAGCACATCTAAAAGAAAATATGTTTAAAAAAAAAAAAAACTAATTAGAGACAATTTAAACCTAATCATAAAAGGAAAAACTACGAACCAAAACTAGGACAATACAGGATTTTAACAGCCAAATAATATGTCATTAATAACGTTGCACTGGACTCAGGTGCCAGCTACTGACAAAATAGACCCCATACAACACAAACAGACACGCCTGGCAAAGCTCTATCAAAAGCGATCACTATATATATATATATATATATATATATTTATATATTACACATATATACACACACACACACGACTTGGCGTCTGTGCTGTGTTCCCCAAAAAAGGGTTAGGTGCGGTGTTAGCTGTGCTGGTGTGTGTTGGCAGCAATTTCCAAACTAATAAGCTGCCAACACGCATTAGGGTGCATGTAACACAAGTTAACACGCGCCCATTAACACACCACACAAATGTGGACAAATGTGTATTCTGCTCCACTTGCTTCAGGACTCCAAGGAAAACAAAAAGTCAGGATTAGGTGACTCCTCAATATCATTTGGCCAGCCTCTCCTCTATTCACGGGGTGATTATGTAAAGTGGGATATTGCAGCCTGCATTTTATGAATGCTTTGTGTGGAGTAAATATTGCAGTTTGCAGCAGAGTGCGTCATCTGTTCTCCATAATAAACAGACCCCACAGATGGAGTCTGAAAAAAGGAGAGTAATCATTGCTCCGATTGTTTGTGTATATTCCAGCTATGCAAACAATATAGTTCACTATCCCAATCTGTTCTGCCGATTGAAAAATTGCAGCCTAGGATCGGCTACCGATCTGTTGAGCCCGGTCTCATGTCTATCACTAGCCAAAGCAATAAAACAGGAGATTCATTTTGTAAAAGCAATGCAAACTCTGGACAAGACAGTCACACGATCACTCACATTTACTGTGGACGGTAAAGAGGCTGCTGGGTGCCCCCCGCTGGGGTGGAAAGGTAAGCTGACTTGGAACTGCAGTTTGGCATTTGTCCACCTCCCGATAAACAACCTGGAACAGAAACGAGGATCAGATAGGAAACAGCAGAACGCAACAATGCAAGCCATGCAGACAGACACTGCCAGCTTGCTATCAGTGACATGGAGCTGAGGCAAAGTCAAATGTCTGTTTTTAGATGTAAAAGAAGAACTCCAGGCATCAATGTCATCATTCCCCAGTTCCCTCTCCAGGACAGACTGTACACACTTGAATTTTTTAGTAATATAGCAGTCACATGGGGGAGCAATTTCAACAGAGCAGCGGCAACACACGGACAACAGAAGTCCCAGAAGTCTGTATGGTTCAATACGCTGTGGGCTTAGCTGTTGTCCTGTTTGGATCAACAGTGAAGACCACTGGCTGCGACGGCTGGCTCATTACATCACCCCTGTAGCTCTGAAAACTACAGGGGGATGTTAATATGACAACTGGCAATGACAAGAAGTGCTTGCCCTGGCTCAATGTCAGACAGCCAGGGGTTCCCATATAGCTTTTGCTATACATACTACACAAAAGGTGTCCTGCGTGCAGAACATGGAGCTATAGTTCACAAGGAGAAAAAAAAAAAGAGGCGTCAGGACCCCCTCTGATTTATTTAATTATCTTTGCTGAAAACTGGATTTATGCTTTAAGTGCTTGTGCACACCCTATACAGTGCGTCCCAGTGCAGTTAGCTGCTGGAACGCACTCTTATCGCATAGTAAAATCCCCCCTACCTTTTGGGCTGTGTGGGGGTGTGGCGGTGCATTGAAGTCAACAGTGTACGCAGCATTTTATCCAATCGCATGGATCACAACGCAGGCACTGATGTGCCACATGTTCTGGTGCAGGCGATCGCACTGCGCGCAAAGGGGGCCTGGCTGAAGTGCCATTGACCTTAGTGCACTGCCACACCCCCTTCCGCCACAGAACGCAGGTGGGAGTTTACTATGCGATACAGTGCATTCCAGCAGTTAGCCACGCTGGAACGCACTGTATATGGTGTGAACAAGCCCTAAATGCGAACATAAAGCTGTAAACAGGCTCGCTGGGACGGACAGAAGTACTGTTCCTGGAGAAAATGTTGCTCTGTGCAATCTCCTGTGCCAGTCATGTGACTAAAAGCCTAACTCTTTGGTCACATGATCTCCATTGGAAAAAAAAACAGCCAGTTTGAACGCTGCTCCTACCCTTACGCTAGGCCTAGGCTTTTGGTTATGTGCATAGCATCTTCTCCAAGAAAGGCAAGTACATCAGTCCCTTTCATTACTCTTTATATATGGAGTAAGTCGCATGCTTTTACAAGCCGGGGATTTTCTTTGCTCTAGACAGCTGAACAGAGCAGCGTGGGAGCACAGAAAAAAAAAGAGCATGTGCTGCTGCAGATGCACACAATGCACCACACAACAACCTACAGTGTGCACAGAGCCTTGGTCAGAGCCAAGCCCTGCTATGATAATAGAGTCATGAAACAGCTGATGATCCCTGCATAAATACAAAGCTTTGTGTCTATCAGTTGTGATAATCCTACGGCGGAGGAATTCCTCATCCTGTCACGGAGGAGCCGTACTGGGCAATGCGTCAAATCCGAGCTCCTTTCTGCTTCTGGATCTAAAATGTCACCCTGCGCGGAAGACCAGTTCAAACGAAGCCGCCTCCGAGCCTACCAAGGGCCTCCAAGCCCTCATCATCCCGTCCCGCGTTACTTACTGTCTTTGGGTTGGAAATGGTAGCGGAATGTGCCAGCTCTTTGATTGGCTTCCATGTAACGTGGTTGAGTATTCGAACCTAATAGAGGAAAACAAGAAAAAAAAGATTGACGCTTTTATATTTATCCCGGAAAACTAGAGCTGGTCACGTCTGTGTACATGCCTTCTCATCGTAGCTGCCAACCACGAGAAACTGGCTGCTGGGGCTCCACACGACGGACTTGATACCCAGAGACCACTCGTAGGCGCTGTAGTTGGACAGCAGGCGTCCATCCAGAGAGTAGAGTAACACCTTGTACTGGAAAATGGTGCAAATTACATGTTAGATAAACTTTGTTTCATTGGAGCTTCCGGGATAATCCACAACAAGCACATCAGGAAACATTCACACCAAATCCAGATCATCTCCAGACCCAAAATGCATCCTAATGTATCCCTGTGCTATTTCTGGCCTCTGTTCACACCAGCGCAGTCCGTTCCAGACCAGGCCAATACTGCTAGTCTCATTATGTGTGGTCTGGAATGCACTGGAACTGCAGGCCAGAAAATGGTGTGAACCAGCCCTAAACCTAAGAACAAATCTGAATATTTTGCAGCGTTGGCATGGTTGCTGCATTTGTTTTCTTCTATCGATGCTTTCCTTTATGTTCACCTTTTGATCCTACCAATAACACACTTCCTGTCCAAGGCTGACAACGCTCATTCACAGTACGGTATGCAACGAGGGGCAGCATTGTCACCTTTGGCTGCTTCCCGCTCCTCATCTCCATAAGATGGAGGGAGGTGTTCTGTAGTTACCAGAGGTGATCTGGGCAGGGCTTATAACATTGCTTGAGATTTCAGTGCAGCAGAGTACACCAGAAGCTACAAGATCATTGGATTTCTGGCAGGATCAACTTAATGAACAGATACAACAAAACATATTCACAGGTATTGAACAGACCAAAAAGGAGCATTGGTGAGAAGCTCAATGTTTGTGTTTATATGTACTTAATAAATGGATGAAATTAATGAATGAAGAATTCCTCACATCTGATAACACAGTAATATGTTTGAGGCTCAGAGCCACGTCCTCGCAACAATTAGCAATGCTCCGGATATGTAAACAAGAGGATTTGATGACCATACCTCCAGACAAGAGTCCCATGCAGCCAGCACGCAGCCATTGGGGGCCCATTCTATGCCGGTCAGGTCTTGAGTGTCGGTCTCAAAGTGCTGCAGACAAAACAGAAGACAAATTTACAGGTCTGCTATGGCCAGCGTCTAGTATTCAAGTCATCCAAGTTTATTTTCAGCTGCTCCAGGTTTAAAGTGCAACTCTACTGGACCCAACAATACTGGCAAAGACCAGGCATTTAGTTGTATCTACAAACACCCTTACATTGCCTTCCAATCAGTCTTTAAAACACCTTCAGTTGGGTTTAATCTCACTTCGAAGAGGAGTTGAGGCCTTGTATGTCTGGATCCAGAATGCAGAGTTCTACACCCAGGATCAAAGAGACTGACTGGAGGCCACTTATAGGTTATTTACACACACAATGGGGGGGGGGAGAAATTTTTCAATACTGGATCAGAAGAATCTGGAGCAGTTTGTTCAGTTAAGCTTTTGAAACTGAAAGGTGGACGATGATTGGTTGCCATGCACAGCTGCTCCAGATTCTGTCTGCTTCAGTTTTGATAAATTCCCCTCAATGTGTCTGCATTTCACCATTTATGGTTAGTGTATGCAGCTCCTTGGACACGTCGGGTTTACGTTAAGAGTGAATGGTTAAGTTTCTAGAATGAATCAATTGAAGCTCGCTCCCATGATGGACTACAATCTCACGTTTAGTAAATGTTATTGAGATTGTAGTCCATCACAGGAGTGAACTTGGAGCGGTGACTACTTTACAACACACACGGGGACCATGGGGAACAAAAGTAGCCCCCTCCAGAAGGAAGGACAGTGTACAGCCGAGTGATACACAAATAAGTTTTCTGTTATTAGTTATGGTAACTGAATGCATTTTTAAGTTTTAACTCCTGAGTTTAGTGTCACTTTAATTTTGTTGAAAAGCAGTATTATGAGTGGATGACACGGGGATGTGGCACTTGTGATCCTTAATGAATTCCAAGAAACAAAGCGTCTCTTTTTGATTTGTGAATGGACGCAGTTTAGAGCTATTCTGAGACAATCGGGACATTCAAAAATCAGTCCAACCGAGGGGTGAGACACAGTAACAAAACATTAAAAGGCCTACATAAAAAAAGCAAAACTGGTGCACGTCAAAGGAGCTGCCATGAAGGAAATTAGATGAGCCCTGAATATCCACTAGTAAAACTTAGAGAACGCGTCAGTCTTACAAATCTGGGAAACAATTGTCTGATGCAGAGTAGCTCAAAAGGTACTCTGCATCAGACAATTGTTTCCCAGATTTCCCAGGTTTCACTCGATGGACTTGTGTCTTTTTTCAACCTGACTAACAATGTAACCTAGCAGCGTGCACATTGACAGGAAAATGTGCAACCTTCTTATTAAGGCCACTGAAGAATGGTGGCGTGAGTCAGTCTTTCTAATGAAAGCGGTAGCTGAAAGCAAAATGAGCACTTCATCCAGGCAATTAACTAATTTTGCCTTCTGATATACTGGAGCCGGACAGAGGTTAAAAAACAAAGCCAATTTTTCCAATTTCTCCTCTGAAAAAGGAGAATTAAACTAGTAAAAATGGTAAAACATTTGTTAGAGAAAAGACATCCATCCCCCTAGGAAAAAAAAAAATGATGGGAGTGGGAGCGATTCTATCTGGCTGCTCTGGGGTTTTTTATTTCCAATCCCTGAATATCTGAATCCTGTGTCCCTTAAACAAGATTGAAAAAGGACTCTAGGTGTCAGATTTTAGCTAATCTGTATAAAACATTCCATGTTAGCAATATAAACACAAAATTGTGCACACTGCCCTATTCTCATGGACACCCCTGGCCGGCACAGAGTGAACAACATTCTGCATTTTTGTGTGGCACAAATTATTTTCCAGTCAAAACACATCAGGAGGTTCTGGCAGGCAAGGCAGCAGGGCTTCACAATGATATATAACATACTTGTGTTTGCACTAAAAACAGGAGCGGAAAGTGTTCAACATACAACCAGGCTGCTGCAAATACGTGCTGTGACAGCTGGGATAAGTGATGTGTTCCTTGTGACTTTAACAGAAGCCAATATTGGCTGGCTGGGGTAACAGAGGCCAGAGAGCTTGTAGCAGCACCAGTGCAAATGCCGTCTCATTAACTTCAGACACAAGAAAGCAATGGGCCTGCATTGCAGCTGCCTGGATGTGCGTCACATGAGCACACCTCACAGTCCATTCAGAATTCAAGAACTCCCTCCACTGAAGATCACAAAGCAAAATTTATAGAAAAAACACAGGCAAACCTCTAATAGTTGAAATACCTGCAGCATCTTTTAACTGCCATAGGAGTTGAGATTCGGTTCTGCCAGTTTTGGGATTTAAACCAGCAGAGACTAATGAGAATATGTCCTACGAAGCCTCTCAAACAGTCCTATGCAAATGCAGACTTTTATAAAGTGAGATCATGGATACCCACATGGCAACCACAGCTTCAGTGGAACTACTAATAATCGATTATAATCGATTATGTCGATTAGTTGTTGCAGCCCTAGAGGAATCTGTTGCACTTTTTCTATCTGACCATAGAAACTGTGCAGATAATCTTCAGGTGTATGGCAGGCTTTAGTGTTTGAACTTACCCTACCCCACATATTTTTGCCTGTGACAACTAGGTGTGAATGATGTCAGAATTCTTCTTCCAGTGAGAAGCCGATCTTGCAATGGACTAAAGTGTCTCCCCACAAGATTTCGCTGCCCTGTATTCGGCAGATATCTTCCTGAAAGGATGGTGACATCCAGGGCCGTAATTACTCTCTCTGCTGCCCAAAGGCCAGGCACTCAATGCGCCCCCACCCGCAAAAACCTCCCCCCATGGAGAAATGGCAGACCGGCATAAAAGTGATCACTTGTATAAAACAAGTGGCGACTTCCCCGCTGTACATTTAGCTCTGCTTGCCCAAAGCAGGGCTAAATGTAGAAAACTACCCGCCCGGCACGCGGAAATGCATGTCCTGGGCGTCGGGAGATAGGAATTCCACACCCCTGCTGGCCCTCTACTCCCTGCTGCCCCAAGGCCGGGCCTTGGTTGGCCTTGTGGGAAATCCGGCCCTGGTGACATCACACCCAGCAGGGCAGAAGATGGGGGTAAAACAAATATACATCCAACTTCTTTTCTTTACGTACACGTACTAACCGTAGACGATTCCTGAAAGGGGAGAGAGGCCGGGCAATAGAAGCAGACCTTGCGATTTACTGCAAGGACCTCTGTAAGCACTTTACATAATGGCCCTGTACAATGTGTCTCTCAAAAAGCCGCGCTGTGACAGCGCTATGTTTAGCCGCCTTGTTTACTGCCAAGAAAGAATCCTGGAAAGTCCCCTGAAAGTAGTGTAGTAAATTCTACAAACTAAGTACTAAGATACAGAGGTATTAAATGAACAGACAGACAGCACAACATGTGGACGGCGGTATTTCTCACCCTTAGTAGGCGCCAGTCATTGCACACAAATATGCTAATGTAATCTTTGCAGTCCCGTCTCTCTGCTAGAGCCATGTGCCGTCCATCCTTGGTGAAGGCGATGCCTGTGGGTCAAAGGTCAGCAAGGGTCAGACAGAAGCTAATCACTGATGTGTTTGTTCATGAGGAGAATAATAAAGTTGTAAAATATACAATGAGCAAAAGGCCGTCAGTGACAAAGCAAGAGCTCTTTACTGACAAAATAGAGTATATAAAAGAACTCTTTCTACCAACCAAAAAGCTGCCGACTCTAAAAGCACCCAAAGCTTTACTCTGATTCTTCAGTTTTGCAAGCAGCAGCAGGTAGGGAAACACTAGACTTTAACCAAGTTTTTACAGGCTTTACCTTTTCTTTATGTGTTTTCTCTTTAACAGTGGCGTCACAATGGGGGTTTGGCACGCACCCGGATGCCACCATTGGAGGGGTGACACCAAAATGACAGTCATTGGAATGACCGACAGTCATTTTGGTGTCACCCCCTATGAAAAGACGGGTACTCGGACTTTTTCCGAGAGCCCAACAATGTCAAGAGAGAGGAGAGGACGCGGCGGCATACCTCATCCTGCCGGGTGAATGTCCCCTCCTCTCTCTGCCGGCGTCCATCACCAAGATGACCGCTGGCAGGCATCAATAAGATTACCGAGCATGCGCAATGACGTCATTGCGCACCCACGCGGCGACATCACGTGCATGTGCGATCACCCCTTTTGCGCCCTGGGTGACACCCAGCCTCGGGACACCCCTGCTCTTTAAAAACATTGCAAGCACAGAGGTGGATCTGCTGGAAATCCAGCATGCTCCAAGACTGTCTTTGCTGCACTGAAATCCCAATTATTGTTGTCAGTTCTACCCAAGTTCTCCCCTGCAGGACCACAGAACACCTTTCCCTTGTTACGTCATAGAGATGTGGAGAGGGTGAGGTGTTCCGCTCCTCAACTCATATGTCACTACAGGAAGTACGAGGCAGTGGGAGGAACCACAACTTGCGACAATCCACCCAAAAGTATTGAGTACCTGTAGCATCAGAAGTGCACCAAAGCGGCCGAGTTCTAAAACACGGGCCTGCGAAACGCTATGTATACGTGGTCTTTATGTCCCATTCATGCTATGTGTCGCAGTAACACTTGGCAATGCATTTTGCGTGCTTTGTGGTGCCATTTTATTTAGAATGGCACCACAAAGCATTTTGTTATTTCCAGCTCTAGATCGCAGTGAACAATTAAAAAAAAAAAAAAAATCCTAGAGTTCCTCTTTATTAACCCTTGAAGTGGGGCTACCCCCTGCACTGCAAGAGTTAAGTGCTCGCTTGTGTCTGGGTGCAAAAATAACAAAGATATACTCACCCGAAGCTCTGAGCCAGCCAGCTGTCTCCCCCTCCCTGCAGCTTTGGAATCTTCCTCAGCGTCCTCATGTCTATACACTGTGTAGGGACGCCTTGATTTATAGGACCTTAGACTGCTGCCGAGGGGGAGAGATGTTGGACGGACCGGTCTAAGAAAAAGCCGGCTCCGAGCATCAGGCGAGTGTAACTTTGTTATTTTAGCACCTAGACACAAACAAGCAGTTAACCCTTGCAGTGCAGGGGAAGCCTCAATGCAAGGCTTAATAAAAAAATACCCAGAGTTCTTCTTTAGGTAATAAAGACCTACCAAAGAATGTGTGGGAAGGGGGCAGCGTAAAGCTTTGCCCGGAAGTGGGTGTTGAGCAGTATTGTTGGCATAGGAAACTTCTAGGTGCACTTTAAATAAACCTGTCATTTACACTACAAGGCCCTATATACACCAGGGCAACAGCGTTTCAGCGCGTTTTGCATGCACTTTCTGTTCATATGTAAAAGCGTTTTAAGGCTCGTTTTAAGTTGTCCAATAAAAAGCAGTCTCAGCTGTAAAAATGCGCTTTAAAAAAAAAAAGCTAAAAACCGAGCTGATTGGCGCACTTCCATTGAAGTCTACAGAGCAAAACGAGCTGATAAGCGCCACAAAAGGTCAAGGACTATTTCAAACAACGGGTGTATTTTTACATGCGATTCAGCGCGTTTGCGTGAACGGCCCCCCCATGGGAATACATGAAACGCCCCATTGTGAACGGCCGAACTAGCCCAAATAAAGCCGACACTAGCCCATGATGAGATCATATGACTCTAAAAGATGGCCGACTTACCCTTCTGACAAGCTTTGGGGAATTTGATGTAGGACACAGACTTTGCACTAAGTGACCACAAAGTTATCCGAAGCTGGAAATGAAAAGCAGACAAATGTTACAGAATTATTGACAAGCAGAATAACTTTTATTTGCATACAAATGACACAAGAAAAAGCCATCAAAACTTTCCACACTACAAGATGAAAATGTCACTAAATTTCTAACAAATGTGAAACGTTTTATGGCAAGATGTAAACAGAACTGAAAGATTCGGGGGAAACTTGATCAGCTTGTGAAGCGCTGCCGCTAGGGCAAGTCTGTATGCCAGTGGTAGGCAACCTCAGCACTCCAGCTGTGGTGAAACAACTCCCATCATGCATCTGCTTCTGGGAGTCATGTCTGTGGCTGTCAGAGCCTTGCAATACATCCTGGGAGTTGTAGTTCCACAACAGATGGAGTGCTGAGGTCACCTACTCTGTGGTATGCATTTAAAGAGCTCTCTATTCTTCAAGCTGAACTCCAGGCAGATATAGAACAGACAACTTAATGCAGCAGAGTATTCATTAATACTAGGGATGCACTGATACCGTTTTTTCAGTATCGAGTACCGATATTTTTTTTTTTCAGTACTTAGCGATACTGAAAGTCCCATTAAGGAAACCAGGTGGCGTGTAAAGACTCGCCACCCGGCTTCCTTATTAGCAGGCAAGCCGTCTCCATGCTTCTCCTCACTATATGACAAGAAAGCATTGAGCCGGCTTTCTGGCCAATTAGGAAGCCTGGCGCCGTGTAATGACGCAACGGCCGGCTTCCCGATTGGCCGGGAAGTCAGCTCCATGCTCTCTTGTCACGAGGGAGCATGAAGCTGGCTTCTCGGCCAATCAGAGAGCAGGGGCGTCGAGTCATTACACTGCGCCCGGCTTCCTGGTTGGCCGGCTCCATGCTCCCTCGTCACAAGTGCCGGCTTCCCGACCAATCAGGAAGCCGGGCAACCTGTAATGACTCTGTGCCCGGCTTCCCGATACCAGGTATCGGGCTAGGCATCGGAGTACTTGCCCAAATACTCGGCATCGGCACCGATACAATGTATCGGTATAGGTGCATCCCTAATTATTACATCATTACACTTTTTTTATGCAGTGTAAGTACCTGACTTTGACTTGGTATCAGCTTCTTGCAGTCCCTGCCTGTACTGCACCTCAGACAGGAAGAGGAAGAAGCGTCACAAGGAGCCACTCAGTCCTGGAGCGAATGTACTAACAAGGAACATGCTGGTAAGAGAGATGAGCTCATCAGACTGCAGCTTCTCCTTTTAATGTCCAATCACAGGGTGGGGGAGGGACAAACCTGTAAGAGTTACATAAACACAACAGAAAAAATGTTGGTATGTTGACCTGCCTGACAGGGCTGTGCTGGGTGGCAGAGCCGTGTCAACCTCAGGACTGGGTGGAAAGAGTATGAACTGGATTGGCAGGTAAAACCTCTCCTTTATCATTTTGTTCAGCTTTAATTGTTTATAGAAGACCGGAGGATTAAAAGGTGGAACTCATTCAGAGCACTTCTGGTGGTAGACTTGCAATGCAAGACTTTTCAGTCATTATGGAGAGACCCTATGCATGTGCAATTCACTGCAAGCTCTGTAAATAGGATCAGAACCACCAGATCCATTGCAGGATGACTGGTGAAGGAAGTAGAGGGCTCATCGGAGACAAGACGGGTGTATCTATGGAACAGGGAGGGTGAAGGGGCCAGTTGGGAGGCATTTGTATAAAAGTAAACCTTTCTTTGAAGTATTTAAGCCATTCTATTATGTTCTACTTCTATTTCCCTACAAAGATGTTACCATTAGTTTAGCAACAACATTGGGGTAAGTCCCCTTCATGCATTTTGCAATGCGTTTCTTCAATCACAATGGGCGCTTTTTGTTTTAAAGACAAGCAGTACCAAAGGACGGGCCCACTTCATGGGTCTGTTGACGTTCGTCTCTATCCCCTCAGAAGGCTGTATGTAGACTATACAACGGGAATTGCCCAGGGTCACCGGGGAACGAATGGCAGAAATCAGCCCACACAGTCACCCAATCTCTACGACCTCAACAGCTGCATAGCTCGAATACCACAATTTAAACCAGACATTTCAACCGGTGCTTCCTGGTTTAGGTTTCATTAATAGGGCCCCAACCCCGGACAAAGAGGACTATGGGAAATACCACAGGGGATAAGACCCAGAATTGTTGTGATACATTTGCTGCCTTTATCATTCTGCTCCAATGGCATACCCCTCACAAGGTGAAATATGAGGTATCGTGGTACAGGACCCAAATAAACAATGGAACCCAACGAAGCAAACAAAAATGTGTTTTGTTTTTTTAATCTTCTCTCAAGCTGCCACAATGAAGCACTTAAACAAAAATACATTCGGGTGAAGCGGAGACTAAAAAGGAGCACAACATTGTCTTCCTAAAAAGTAGGTAAACCCCAACAATGAGTTCACCCTTTAGGTCAACAATTATTGCATTGAAGTGTTCGATAAGAAAATAAACCTGTTGATCCTGCCAGAAATGTAGTGATCTGATAACTTCCTGTGTTCTCTGCCTATTCTACATGGTTTATCAGTTACATTGCTCCCAGTTCTCTGTGGACATAAGAACCCCCCACCTTGGTTAGGAGGATGAAGAGAGGTGTTCTGTAGTCCTAACAGTTCTGTCCTAGGGTGACAACACTGCTCCTCCATAGATACAGCATGGCCAGGCTCAAAGCGCCCACTTAGATAAACCAAGGAGGGCCCGTGGGGAACCAAGGAGGGCCCGTGAGGAATGTGAATGTGCAAAGGCTATGTGTAAATTGTGGGCGCTACCATGTTTCCCTGAAAATAAGACACTGTCTTATATTTTTTGGGGCTCAAAAAAACACACTAGCTCTTATTTTCGGGGGAGTTTTTTTTTTTTTTTTTTTTTTTATGTATAACAATCCAAAGTTAATGCAAATCCAAAATGGCTAAGTTAAGAATAGGGTGATGAGGGCAATCAGGGGTGCCATACCTTTCCATTCATTGGCACCACCGATTCTCTCCCACGGCTCTTCAGGTTCCTCCTTATGCCACCACCAGCCCTGGCAATGGTCACAACTAGGTCTTATTTTCAGGGAAACAGGGTATATAAATAAATTATGGTCAACTCGGCATCCACAACGACTGCATTTAACACAGATATACATAAGGGACTGGACTCCACAGGTTCACTTTACCTTACCATTTTTCTAAGCCACATTCAACATTTAAACAAAAGAACCTGATTGGCTGCCCCAGACAACACCGTCTGTATTAGAACACAGTCCATCCAGGAGCCACCAGCAAATGGGCAACCTTTGGCACAGCGCATAAAACAAAGGGTTAACGAGTCTTGCTCAATCCCCTGTAGGTATCTTCATATAAACAATTGCCCCCCAAGGAGGCTTCCAGCTGCTGCTTTGGCCCGAGTGCAATAAAAGGAAGCCAACGCTGCTAAAATAGCCCCACAAAACAAAACAGCTGAGAAATATAAAGTATTGAGACAGTAATGTGATGAACGGCCCCTTGCCACTGATACAAGCGAGTCTTGCGGCTTGACAGCCCACGGCAGGTGCCCGCGACTGGCGATTTTCACCGTACAAGAGTCACTTCTGCAGAACCTGGCTTCTCAAGTGACTGTCAAATTGTGTCCCAGACTTGACTGGGTCACAGGGCCCCTTTACATAGCTGCGTCTGTCAGTGTGGGATTTCGGAGGATTACTCCCTGCGCATTCCTCAACACAAAGCATCTCGGGGCCAATCGGGGGCCCTTCGCAATTACAATGGATTATTCCTGGGGGCGCAGTGAGCGGCTGCGGCGGAGGCTTTGCACAGAAGGTTAATTACTGACTTGCTGGGATGGAAAACATCCAAGTTAATTTCATGCTAAATCGGCGCCTGTCATTAATACATTAACGGTAATCAAGGATTGCAGCGGGCATCGCATTAGAGCGACATCTGCTTCGCACGCTGGGGGCATTGTTCGGATGCATACATGGAGCGCTGTCCTTACACTTCACTCGCTGCTACCGAAGCCTGGAAGGTTAAAGGTTAAGGAACCACTCCAATCTAAACTTTATTAGCGCTAATAATGGCAGAGTCCTTCAAATCCTTAAATGGGACCTTTTAGGTTGATCTCGGTCTTCGATGCTGCGAGGGCGGATAATACGCAAATTAGGCGACCTGCTAAAGCAAGCATCCAGAATGCATGGTTCTTTCTATGTTACATACACTATGTTGCCAAAAGTATTGGGACGCCGGCCTTTATACGCACATGAACTTTAATGGCATCCCAGTCTTAGTCCGTAGGGTTCAGTATTGAGTTGGCCTGTCCTTTGCCGCTATAACAGCTTCAACTCTTCTGGGAAGGCGTCCACAAGGTTTAGGAGTGTGTCTATGGGAATGTTGGACCATTTGTGAGGTCAGGTACTGATGTTGGACGAGAAGGCCGGGCTCACAGTCTCCGCTCTAATTCATCCCAAAGGTGTTCTATGGGGTTGAAGTCAGGACTCTGTGCAGGCCAGTCAAGTTCCTCCACCCCAAACTCCCCCATCCATGTCTTTATGGACCTTGCTTTGTGCACTGGTGCACAGTCATGTTGGAACAGGAAGGAGCCATCCCCTAACTGTTCCCACAAAGTTGGGAGCAAGAAATTGTCCAAAATGTCTTGGTATGCTGAGGCCCTAAGAGTTCTCTTCACTGGAACAAGGGGGCCCAACTGGATGTGTGTGTATATATATGTGTGTGTATATATGTGTGTATATATATATACATACACATACATATACACACACACACATATACACACACAAAAATAAAACTTTCAAACCTAAGAGTTGCCATTTCATCAGTTACAGAGATGTGAAGTGATCAATGGCTCATAAATCAATGCACAAAGAGCCCTGCATGCGGACAATTAGATTTGGGTTATAAATCTGTCTGGTGGGGTATAGCAGGCTGGATGGATGTTGAGGGGGCCCCCCCAGAGATCAGAGGCCAGGCACTCTCAGAGGGTATCTCAGTCCGGCAGACAGGTGCTACTTT